CAAAAAAAAATCCACTAGAAAGGTATATCTTTTAGGCAGTTGTACAAATAACATTTTAGTCTCTCATATAGTCACCTTTAAACTAGAATTTTAGGTACGTGATCTTAAGTGTTAAACTTCTCTGTGATCAATTTGCTTGTGTTTAAAATTAGGATAATTACTGTACCTACCTTATACTTTTATTGTAAGTGTTATAAGAACCAATACATATACATCATTTAGGACTAATACTTTGGAATCACTCAAGAGCTCTCAATGATTAACTGTTTTTGTCATTGCCATTGTTGTATCATTACTATTGACATACAGTGTTTTATTACTATTGTCCTATGGAGTGGTTTCATTTGTATTTGACATGTCTTGATCTCGGAGCTCAAGAGAACATGAGTTAAAGAGCTGAAGAAATTCAAAAGCAGAGGTCAAAAAAGAAGCAAAGTCTTGGATCCTCTGACTTCACCTTACCCCAAAGACAGGTGTCCTGGGACCAGACTCCAGTGGACATATAAAGTGTACATGTTCTGGGCAAGGGAGTCTATCTCCCCTCTTGTAACTCCTTCCTTATAGAGAAAAAAACATGAGAGCAACCTGGTTAGGAGGAAATAATGCCAAGCAGTCTGGATTTGAAAATCAATTATTTGCAGAAGTTGTCTGGAAAACTCTACTCCCCATCAGTGGGGGCAGAATAAAATAATAATTCCTCTGGAAGGAGAGAAGATGCCAGTGAAAATCTGGGCTAAATCAAGTTCCTCTTCCTTAAGGAAGAGCAAGCCCTCAGTCTCAACTTGGTTATTCAGGCTAACCAGTGCAAGATCCGAAGAATGTTTCTGGGTGTGCTGCTTAATGTACCTTTTTTAAAATTAATATTTCTTCCCGAGGGGACTTTAAATTACAGTCATGCTTGTGCTTTGAGTCCATTTGGAGTACTCTGATACTCCACATTTTTTTTTAAGTCTGTTCTGCTATTGAGACAAATCAAAAAAATTTTAATAGCTTTTTTTTAGTTAATAATTTTAGTCAGTAGTTTATTAATGTATAGGGCACTGTACTAAATGATGGAAATGTCATCGCTTCTCGGCCTTTTGGCTAAGATCAAGTGTACTAAATGATGGAAATGTGGAGTCCAGAGGCATCATTTCTTCTTTCCAGCATGCATACCCTTGGCAATAGAAATTTACATAAGATGTAGAAGCATTCAGAAATGATTATTAAGTTGAATATTATATTTTACAAACTACATAGTATGTTTTAAATTTACCCAGAATATTAAATTTAAGATCCAAATAAAAACATTGAAGTCCAATTAACATATGCTATGACAAAACATAATATAGAAATCAGTAAATTTTGTTGAGGTAACAAAACAAAACAAAACAAAAAGAACAGAGAGAACAGGGATTTTGCTCAGTGGAGCCACACCTGCCTCACAACTGCAAGGTCCTGAGTTTGTTTCCCAGTACCTGGGGGAAAAAAAAGAGAGAGAGGATTATACCATAAAAATGGAAAAGATGGTCCAGGGATTTAGCTCAGTGGTGCTGCCACCAGCCTAGTAAGCACAGGCCCAGTGTGCTGAGTTCAATCATCAGTACCAAGAAAGGAAAAGTATCTCTAGGAAATGGCCAGAGAAAAATTTTTATGTTAAAAGAAACTAAGTTCAAATTCCAGTTCTACCACATAGGTACCAGCTATGTGAGTGTACCTAGTCAAGTTTCCTAACCTCTCTGAGTATAAATTCTTTATGTATGAAACAGAAATAATAACTACCATGCTGTGTAATATTAGCCAGTAAATGAAACAATATATGAAGGACCTATCACATGGTAAATATTCAATTTACCTACTACTTTTCCTTATAATATAGCCTCCCTTGTATCTGTTTTATTCCATGCACTTACAAACAGGTGACTATGGCAAATCAACTCTCAAACTCTCTTGGGGTGAAACTTCAATGGTTTTCTCTAACATAATTCTGTGCTATTTATTCTTAATTACATTTCTAAGGTACCTACAGAGGTTTTGGTATATCACAAACACTTTTACACACTCCAGTTTTACTAAAATATATAACAAAATGTCTTAAAAGTCAAGCATAGTTGTAGCAAAACTATTCAGAAAATAGGTAAGGAAAATATCAATGTCCTTTCCAGTTAAAGTATTGTTTATAAAGACACTAATGGGATTATGTGAAAATCCCTCCTACTGAAAAAAAGTTAAAATTTAGCCATTAAAATGTTTCCAAGATATATTACTGCTTCTTTTTTACAAATTATCTGTAACATAAATTCAGGGTATTTTAGTCATGTCAATAAAAAAAAAGAAATTTAAATAAGATGTCAGTGTTTGTAAAAACAGTTTAAAGAAAATGTTTAGATGGTGCTGCAGTATAATTCTTATGTTTTAACATTTATATTCTTTGTAAAGGTTGTTGGAGTGGGTGAGGTGATATTAAATTGAGCCTGTACATAAATATTAACTTGATCTTCAGGCTTCCCACCTCAAAAACAGGGAGAATAAATCCTTTCCTCTGTCTTTCCCAGAGAATATGACAATAAAGGTTCAAATGAATACTTGTGAATATTTCAGTAAAAATTAAACTACATGAGTTCAAGATCAATTATACTGCATTCCGAGGGGATAGGGAAGTCATATGTCAAACAGATATTTGCCTGCCTAATCTCATATGTGTTTTCCTAAGTACCAAGAAAAATATTTGTTCTCAAAAAATATTTGTATGGCTGGGGATTTAGCTCAGAGACACTGTGCCTGCTTCACAAGTTCAAGGTCCTGAGTTTGATCCCCAGTACCGAAAAAAAAAAAAATTGTGACTCTCAATTTTTCTTGCTTATGCAGATTCTTTTCCCTACAATTATGCTGTCTTATACAACAGCCAATGTGACTATTTAAATTTTAATGAATTGAAATTAAAAATTCAGTCCCTCAGTCCTTCTAGTACTTTTCAAGTACTCAGTGGCCACATGTGAGTGGTTACTGTCATATCATACAGAGAGAACTTCTGACAGTCATTGAAAGTTCTGTTGGAGAATCAGATTGAATGTCCCTGTTGTTTTGTAGCTTTAACTAGCCATGGTTAGAACTTCAAGAATTAAATGACCTTAGAAGTTGTGGGAAGATGACTTCTTAGTGAGGTAAGTGTCAGACCATGAGACAGCTTGTAGGGAGTGAAGAGAAATTAAATGTAAGATATAGAAGGAATGAAGGTTTAAAAAGAATGTAAATTGATATTATAATAAAAAAGCATAAACTATGATTCATAAAATAATGTTTTAGCAGTATTTTAATTAATTTGCACTTAAAATATTTGTCACATGGTGCTTGCACTACACATAGTAATCTCATGCTGATGTTCTGATAGTGTGATTGGGTTTCCAGATGTTTTAGCCATCATTTATCACACAAAAACTGTTTGTGGTAAAACAACTACCATATGTGTGTATCAGTAGCACATGTTTAAAATGTACTTTCCTGTGGTAGAACTCAGCAGGTGCCGTGGAGCTACTTGCAATTCTCCTTCAGAACCTTGGTGTTTATCCTCGCTTGGTTCTTATGTATTCAGCCGTAGTTTTCATGTTTACCAATATTGTGCCTTCTACTGTTTGTGCATAAAAATATTATAAATCGACATATGTATTATTGTCCCTAAAAGTAAAAGAATAATCTGTGTATGTTTGCATTTAGGTCATTCTGTCAATTGAAGAAGGTTACAGACTTCCAGCCCCCATGGGCTGCCCAGCGTCTCTACACCAACTGATGCTCCACTGCTGGCAGAAGGAGAGAAATCACAGACCAAAATTTACTGACATTGTCAGCTTCCTTGACAAACTGATCCGCAATCCCAGTGCCCTTCACACCCTGGTAGAGGATATCCTTGTGTAAGATACATAATGTTGATTTTTTTTTCCCTTGACAAACATAATTTCTTTCAAGCTACAGAAAAGAAAAACAGGAAGAAGGGGAAGAGTTTTCCTTGACAACTTTGTAGTTGTTGACCTTGTATAAACTATACTTTGTCAGCTGAATAGACAAATTATTAATGTTAAAGGAAAATGTGAATGTTTTTCCACAAGCAAACAGCTTCCCCTTCTCTTTTCTCTGTATCTAAGCCTTCAAAATTACTTTGTTTATATTATTTTCCTGTATGGGTCTTTGATATTTATATATATGTATATGTATGCATGTATATATATATATATATATATACATATATATATATTTCTTTACTGAATGTTCTTTACCTTTGTAAGTAGGATACATGTTTGTCCATGCAGCCGCTCTAATTTTTTTTTGTTTGTTCTATGTTCTGTCCCTCTCTTCAAAATGGCAAGCAAAACAGGTAATTTGTGAATCAGCCAGGAGCAAGGCTGTTTCCTACTGATATGGTCATACCTAGCCATTGTTACTTTCCACTCCTAAAGCCAGAAAAGGATGGCTGACAAGAAATTGAAGGCACTAATACCCCATTTTGTATGTCAGAGTTGAGAAGATTTACTTACCTCTCTATAAAAAGCAATTATAAGAAGAGTCCAACTAAAAAACGGTTATGTATGTCTGAAAATATTACATTTGAAATGTCATTAATTTGAAATATATATGCTTTACTTTTAGGTTCAATTGGACTTAGAAATAGCCAAAGCATTTCCATTTCACTTTCCCCACTCAGGATAGTTTAGAGAATATACAAACATTCAACTTTAGGTCACTAGTTCAAGCCAGTGTGGGGGTTTAGTGACAATAAGATGAAGGCTCTTCAAGGACTGTTTGAAACAGGCCTCAGTTCAAAGCAGAACATATGAGAGTTCACCTCTAAATCACTAATTGGAAGCCTCAGTAAAGTGAAGCCAAGCATGAAATAGCTAGAGATTAAACTATTACTCTAGCCCATCTTCCCTAAAGCAGGCCAATACAGGAAGCAGTAAGGGAATAGGGGATGTGGAAGAAGGCACTTTGGAGTTCATTATTAAAGCAATGGACAGCCATTTAGGGATTTAAGCAAGAAAATGACATGATCACATTTGCATTTCTCAAAGATCACTTTAGGATTGATTTAGATAGACTGTGAATGCAAAACGGGGAACATGACTGAAAGCAGATACAGTTGTACATTTTCAACAAGCCAAGCTAGAAAAGAATAGGACCTAGGTTCTAAAATGGAAATAAGCTTGAAATCAGAAGATAAGAGAATGAACAAAGTATTAGTAAGAAAAACCAATGTGTCTTTGTTACTGAATATAAAGAAATGAAAAAAGGGAAGGAAGGAAGAAAATCAAGGATATCTGTCAAATTTCTTTCTTCAACAAGCTGACTGATGGTATAATCAGTAAGACAGGAAGAGGAAGAAATTTTTGGAGTAGAAATAAGATCTTTTTGAGAATGCTGAATCAGCGATGCTTGTGTGATCTCTAAGTGGAAATGTCTAGTAAGTATTTATAAGTTGAATTTCAGGTGAAAAGATCTGGGCTGTGGATGTAGATTTGAATATCATCAGCTAAGATTGTAGTGTATTTTTAGGTGTGGTTCAGATAAGCTATGAAAAAGATAAAAAATGCAAGTAAACAGAGGAAAATAATGTAGTCCTCTGGAACACCAAGATTTAAGACATGAGCAGGCCAGGGATTTAGCTCCATAGTTCTGTGCTTGCCCTGCAAGTGCAAGGCCCTGAGTTTGATCCTCAGTAAAAAAAAAAAAAAAAAAGAAAGAAATGAATTGGAAAAGGAAATCAGCAAAGAAGGCTAAAAACAAAAGTCCCATAGGTAATAAAGGATACAGAGAATGACATGTCAGAAGTCAAAAAAGGAAAGGGTTTCAAAGAGTATGACGTCTTGGGCTGGGGATTTATCTCAGTGGTGCTGCTGACTGTCTCGCAAGCACAAGGATCCAAGTTTGATCCCTGGTACCAAAAGAAACAAAGAGTATGATGTCCAAAGGATGACAACTTCAATAAAATAAAAAGTAAGACATGTCCACTGAAATTAGCAATGAGATATTCAGATGTTCATGGGCAACTTTTTCAAGAGTATTTTCAATAAAGTTTTAATAAAAGGGGAATGAATATGAAGTCAGAGAGAATAATATGTAGCACTAATTGTTTCTAGAAACCCGTCTGTGATGGCAAAGGAAACTAGTTAAAGGAAATGTTTCTTGGTTTTTGTTTTCATATCTTTTATTGAAGAGGCTTGGGCATGCTTTACTATCAAAGAGAAAGTCCTAATAGAAAGAATCCAGGAAGTGAGTCTGTAATCATGGAAGCAGACCATTTAATCCAGGCTTCTCATGGCCTGTACCTTTCAACAAAGCTGTCTAACTGTGCTATGATCTGTAGGGGCAGTCAGGTGTAAGTCTTATTTTTAAATAAAAACACATTAAACAAGTTCTTTGTATTTTCAAGTTTATGAATGATCACCACATTTGGAAAATATTAATGAAAGATCTATGATGGGAAAATGTCAAAAAGCTAAAAGGATCCAGAGGTCAATCAAGATGAAAGGTGATATCTGAAGGCTTAATGATTAGGGAGGTCTGTGAGGATGCAGTGGACCCGGCTGTGTGTGGCAAGCTCTATGATAACCCCACTAAAAGCATCCCTGGAGCTGGGTGTTTTTATAAAGTTGGAAACCAATTCTCACCTCTAATCTCTAGGAAACCACATGGAAGTTTTTGTGAACGATGTGCTATCCTTGTTTGTGAGAAAGATGTATGAGCTACTGCTTTTGCTCCTAATATATTTTTGTTTGAGAAACAAAGTAAACCAGAGTTCTAAAGGTGTCATGCCTGAACCTTATCAGAATTCTTATTTTCAGAGCAGCCTGAATGTTTCCTATTGCCACCCTCATACCCTCAATATCACCTGCCCACTCTGTCCCTGATCTCAGTACTGAGACTGTTTAGGGAGAAGAGACATAATACATTAAAGGATAATATTGTCTAAAGAAGACCTGATTTGTTTTATATTTATAAACCTGTGACAAGCCCCTCCATGTGACGAGGCCTCCCATCTCCAAAATTCCCAGAGCCCAGATGTCTGTCTATTCCAGAGTGATACTGCACTAAGAAACATGACATAGTATAGAATTTCAATCTTTCCTCCTATATGTCGCTCAGACACGTGAATGAATCTAAATGTACAATCTACAGACACTCATATCGACTCTCCTGCACTCTCCTTTTCTCTAGTGTCCCTAAACTCCCAGGTTTCTTTCACACTTCTGCACCAACGTAACTCTCTCCTCTATGAGGTCCCCAATGGTTTTTCTTCTACTCTAATTGCTTTTTTTCTCAAGAGTTCACCTGAGAAAGTTTTATACTTTATTTTGGCAGGGTAATAAGAGGGAGAGGAAATTAAAGTGACAAAAGGGAATGAAGAAGGCTATGAAACCCATAGTTTAATAATATTATACTATCTCACTGCAAATTCATAAATCTTGTATCTGTAATCTTTCCTTTCAAAAAGAGTACCTAATTTTAAAAGATATGATAAGAGAAAGTATTCATTGTTGAGAGAAGCAGTTCACATTGTTTCTTCTATTGACATGCATGTGCCTCACACACATTTATTGGGGTGTTCAGAGTACTCAACATGCTTGCTTCCTCTCCTAATCAAGTATGGATATGTAAATAAACATGATAATATACACATTTAACTTGAAATACAATGTAGTGTAAAAAGTGATTTGCAAAACTACCACTTCAGTTCAGGCAGGCGGCCTTCCATAAATGTATTCAAAGTGGCCTTGTATTCACTCATCTTACAATAGTGTATTATCACCTTTCAAATAATTACTTATAGCTGTCATATGGTACAGCCCCTGGGAGAAAGGTCCCAAATTGATGCCAAGGTTATGCGTAGAGCAGCATCTGGAGCAATGTATTGTTGTCATCTGCTGTTTGGTCTGCAGAGTATGGTTGGGGAGCTCAGACTGGGAGAGGGAGGTGCAGAATCACCAGGCAGGCTCCGGGGAGGTTTCTGGAATGCTTCTGCTTTCTTTAGGAAATGCACAGTCTTTTTTAGTTTACGTGCGGACAACCATGGGGGAGGAGCATGGAAGGAGCATTTAATTACATGGCACATTTTTATAGGTTATGCAGATCCATACATTAGGGAGAACATTGGGTGATATCTTCTTGGCCAGACATATGCTGGGGTGATTTTTCTTGGGTGAGGTGAAGAAGTCAGGGACTAGGGGCAGAGGTGTAGCCTGTTAGACCCAGCGTCTACACACTTAGGCGAGCTTGCTCAGCCTTAGCATGGTCTCCGAGCTTGCTTAGGAGACAGGAGTGCAGCGCAACTAGCCCAGCCAGGCTTGAACTTCTCCCAATGTATAACTGTGTGCTTTGAAACAGCATTTGCTCCCGCTTCCCCAACACTCAGGATCAACCAAGTAGCTGCTCCCAATTCCAAGTACACTCTCACATAGTCCTGGGATGTCAGGAGACCTGTAATTTAAGACCACAGTGTCCCAGTGAATGTAAAACATCCCTTCACCCAATCCTCCCTACCTCTTAGATTTCAGCCACATCGTCCGACACATTAATTCTCCATCTTCTTCGGTCTTTACCCCAGATTTCTCCATGTTTTAAAGCCTACTGAACATACTTGGCTACAACCAGCTGGTTAGTGTTATTTGTGGCAAACCTATGCTGTAATGGGAAAAAATAACACTTTGGTCAAATCTTGCTCTAGGTCTGCACTACAAATTTTACAGATTATGTATAAGCTTCTTGACCATCAGCTCAAAGGTAGTATTATCTAGAGATGAGCAGCAGTTGCCCAGATGGAAAGAACCAGTCTGTAATAACCAATTGCCTGGGAAACCAGGCTCTGCTAGGGCTAAGACACCTTATGAATATTCTCACTACCCATTGTGCAATAGTTAATCATATTTTAGGGTTTTAGCTCTTGGAAATTGCTACCACCACCATTTGAATAGTATAAGTATATTGTTGAACTTTCAAGCACTTGGCTCCCAGTAATATATGATTGATAAAGGTTGAGAAAGGCTCATACCAAACCCATAATTATAAATCTCTCCTTTAGAAAACTGAGGCTGAGTGGTACTAACCCTGTATTCATCAATAATTCACCAATAATTTAGTTAATAATGATAATTTATTATTGAAATAACTTCTAACAATTTGATATAAAATTTTCCATTCATTTTGTGAAGATCTTGCTCATTGCTGCCTAGGCAATATACAATCAGCACATGCACTGTTTATCTCTATATAACATATAATGGATAACGTACTTGCTTTGATTCTTGTTGCTAGCACTTGTAATGATGTTTTTGTGTTAGAGAAATTAGAGGCTGGCCAAAACCAGTGAAGTTAAACGACAAAGTTCAGTAGAAGGAAGGCAGAATGTGAAGCACTGATCAGATGAGCAACTTGTACCTGCCTACTAGAAAATATAAATTCAATTTACATGAACTACTAGTACAAGATAATTATAGCACTAAGGTCAATACCTATAGAAATATTTATACATATTCTAATATATATTATCAACAATAACAATTATTGTCATTTGCTAAATACTTACCATATGCTAATCATTAATATTCACTTTCCTCAATTATGTCACTTAATCACTACTGTTATTATCCTCATCCTTCAGATAAAGAAATGGAGACTCTAAGAGGCTATTTCTTCCAAAAGTACACAGCCAAGTAATTAGCAGATCAGGAACAAGATTCTTCAAATCCAAATCTATTGTTCTTTCTACTATGCAATATAAAATCACTCAAGATGGCCACATGTTTCTCAGTATAGAACTATTTCAGAAGTATGATTATAAGAGACTACAGTTTTACATTTCTAGTTAGGTTTTCACTGGGTTACATAAGACTTGATACATGGAGTATATTAACATCCCCAAAATAATTTTAGTGTAGTACAACCTGTTATTTTACGTCCCACTGAGAAAATACATGGATGTAAAGTATATGCTCTCAGTAGCAAATGAATTTCCCATATATTCCCCAAACATCATCCTACAATGCCCAACCACTTGAAGAACATTAGGTGGAAAAAGAAAATAATAACTAGAACAATATAGAGAAATGAGAAAACTATGGCAAGAACATAGTTCCATAATTATATTTTCAGGCATTTCTATAGATTGAATTTTTCTAGTGTTGGAAAATAGCATGCTTTGCTTCTTTTTCCTCGGTATGGCAGACTTTACTAATCTTCACAACAGTCTTTCCTACTGAGCTCAGTCATCATCTCACTATCCTTTTCATGAGGACATTTTGATAGCCACTGCCAATGCATTGCAGTTTTCATGTGATACAGAAGCTATTTTCTGACCCTGTATTATTTCCTCACAAAAATAGTCTTTCTTTGAGTTCAGGGACCTATTGTTCTGGCTCCAAGTAATATATACAGGTACTCAGACTTATAAGAGATATTTTTAAGTGTTATTCCTGCTCTGCATCTATTCCTCCAAATGTTCAAAAACTATCTAAATGTTTAAATTCACTTTAAAATTTTAACTTTCATTCCTTTATAAGTTTACCAGTTATCAACCTTATCATGCAAATTAATCACAAGTATTTTAAAAACTGAAGATTTCCTGAAAATAAAAGTCTTACAAAAAATCCATGCTTCCAATTTAACACTACAGAGAGTCAGAGTGTTGGGAAAACAAGTATGGCTTCCAATTGTGAAGAATCCATAAGATATATGGTGGGCTTCTATACATTCAAGATTTTATAATATTGAGTCAGATTATGCTTTAATTTCAATATCAAAATTATTTCATTAATTTAGCTTCTGCTCTAGATGAATTTCAAGCTTAATTGCAAAAAGTGTAATTTTTATCTAAGTAAATACTTTTTTCCAATGGTTAGATAAGTAGTGCATGTCTTAGAAGAATATTGTATGAACTGAGTAGTGTGAAGGTGCACTCTTTTGGTTGTAAGATGAGATACTCATCTAAAAGCAGTACTACTGAATAAGAGTAATACTGTAATACTGTCATTGTGGCCGTGGATATATATTTGCATGTAAACCTTTAACAATGTGCTACATGACTCCATCTATAACTACCTCTTCTTTGACCTGAAACCTAGAAATATAATAGAAACAGTTTCATAATGTTTCATAAGTAATATGTTGAATATAATGCTCATTAATAATTTGACCAGTATAACAGTAAGCACTTACTAGATTTGACTTTTTAAAAATGAAATAAAATTAAAATAAATTATTCATCAAAAATCAGCCATTATGTCATGTATCTAACTTCTGTGGAGAAATTATTCAAATCTAAATGGTCATTCATTTAAGTAACTCCTATAATGCTTTCAGCATTGTACTAGGGTCCACCAAAAAGTAAAAATACATGATGACATGTTCATACCATCAGTGAATTCTAATTTACTCCTATATTTTTTTTTCTTGGAAACAGCCCAATTACCCATCAGTTGGAGACTGGATAAAGAAGATGTGGTTTTTCTATAAAATGGAATACTACTCAGCCATAAAGAATGAGAAACTAGAGTCATTCATAGGAAAATGGATGCATATTGAGGCCATACACTTTAAGTGAAATAAATAGGACACACATGTGTAAATACCAAATAGTTTCTCTAGTGTGAAAAACTAAAAGTGTAAATAAGATCCAAATTGTATAACTGATAATGTAGAATAGGAAGAAAAGGGCTAAAGGTGTAGGGGAAGTGGGAAGGGTAGGGGAAAGGTAATAAGGGAAAAGAAAAAATATGCGAAAAGGAAAAAATGGAAACAAAGTCTTTGTAAATAGGGGAGGGTGGAGCGGGTGAAGGGAGGGCAGGGGTATGAGAAAAAAATGAGAACCAAGATCTGTCACATAAAGGTACAAGATCCCAATGATGAATGTGACTGTACTGTATACTTAGAAATTACCAATAAACTCAATGAAAAAAATTTACCTTATGGGAAAAAATTCAACCAAGCAAAAACATATACCCTCTAAGTCTACATGATCATTTACAGTAAGAGAATGTAGTTAGTAATCTGAATAATTAACAAATTATTAAGCATTCACAAATTATATACTCATTTGAAAATAAAAACTGCTGAAAATGTAAAATATTCATAGACATATAAAATAAAGATAATGTAGAATAGGATATACTATCTGTGTAGTTCTAACTGCATATAATAGAAGTCAATTTAAAAGGTTATGTTATAGAAGTAACAGGAGGAAAGCCTTTAAGCATGTGATAATTATATATTAAAACAATTTTACTTCAATAATGTTTCTGAAAATACAATGTCTCAAATAATTGTAATAATTTTACTACTAGATTATATTAACATGTTTGATAATAAAACATGGAAAACTTTTGAAGAGAAAAGCCTTCTTACTTTTAAAGGTTGGTATTAATATTTACTAATTATCTAAGAAACTTCTAAATTAAAAGGCTAGTCCTACTATAACATGAAAGTGCTCAGCAGAATAAAAACTTAATGACTTTATTAGAGGTTTTTTCTATATTTAAATGTATTGAAAGTATATGTTTATTGCCCTTTAAACTGTATGATTACTTGTTACACCAATACTCCAGGCTTTTCTTTAATTTGAACATAATTTTGACCTTAAATTTCCTAATTCTAGCCCCTTCTCATTTTTCTAAGGGAGAATTAGACCCTTGCCCTCCTGTTCTACAATATGTGCTTTTTAAAATGTGAGCTGCTGGCTTTGCTATAAACACATTTCTCAGATAGGCAGTTCCAACTAATCATCAAATAACAGAAATTTCTACATGCTCAGCAAAGAGAAGACTGAATTTATCATTGTACATGTTTGATAAGAAAGGGCATTTATTGTTTATTAGGTAATGTTCCAGAGAATTCATGTGAGGATGATGAAGCCCAACCCAGGAAGCCAGAAAATAGCGCATTTTTCAACTTCATCATAAGATAAGGTGAAAGAAAAGTTATTGCACAGTGGCTGTGAACAATGAGGGGACACTGACCTTACTAAATCAACTGCCAGTGCAGTTATATAAAAGCCAAAGAGTAACTAGGTTACTAAAGATGTGTGAAGAGAAAAGGAATTATGGTATTGAAACATTCTGAAAGCAAATAGTGGATGTTTTCCAACAGTGAAATAAGCCATTTCAATAATTTAGTTTACATAATGCCCTTCCATTTCCTTTTTTATGTAAAGAACATAAAATTAGCAAATTACAGTAGTATTCACCAATTATATGAAATTGTGAAAGTTCAAGAGTTATTCTAGCTTTATCCCTGAAGAAAAAGTATAAATTATTTGACTATATGCATCAACAACAGCATAAGAGTGAAAAGAGAAAATGGATTAAATACGTTTTTTAATTTTGTTCAGTTTCAGGAAATTTCTTTGCTAATTAAATAATATGACAACCCATTATTTTATATTAGAACATTCAATTTTCTAACACATATGATTTTATTCATGTTAATAATTAATACAAGTACTCGTCATTTTAATATTTAAACTTAGTGAAGTACAGCAGTGTTTCCTAATTTTTTTGTTGTTGTTGTTGTACCAAACTCAGGTCCTTGCACTTGCGAGGCAGGTGAGAGTTTCCTAATTAAAAAAAAAAAAAAAATGCAGAAGCTATTCTGAATTCTCTTAAATACTCAAAAATGCAGATTAGAGTAGTAAACTCTCTTAAAAATCCTATAATTAAAGAATCTTTTAACGCTGTTGAACACAGAGAACTTTCTTATTTAGTATTACAACATGAATTTTTTATTTAACAATATTTTTAGTTAATAAGCACCTGTTGGAAACTTTAAAGAAATATAGCAACAATTCAAGTATTTGTTGGTAGGTGCTATGATAGATTTTCAAGTTTTGTACATGAGGAATCTTTGCTTCCAGTCAAATCATGAATTATTCTGATATTAACTAGGATGAAACAGCCCACAGTCAAACAGCACTGCAATTTTTACTGTAAGAGAAAAGAACATGGCTCCAAAATATAAAATTTGGTATAAGAATTGAGTAGTCATTTCAAAAAAAAGACCAAAGTCACAACTAAGAGTAACTAAGCTCAATAGGGAGTACAGTCTAATCACAAGACACATTCATTTAATTTCCACAAATTCCAATTATGTATAAATAACAAAAGCTCTAAATCTCCATCATCTCTGATAACCCCTACTTCCATTTTCAATGGACCCTAGTTTAGAAAAAGAGAGGTCAATGTAGGAAAGTAAAACAAAAACAAAAAGAATTCTAGGTCTTTGGTAAGGATTCTGACCTACATTCTAAGGAAGATTCTTTTCAGAGTCTTTAAGAGTTTTACCATGGACAACTTGTTCTGAAAGACTCAGGTCCTCCATTGGTAATTTAAAGAATTTTTAAGGGTAATTTTGATTGCTAGGGATTTTTAGCTTTTACCTTAAGCAGTACTCTTGGAACTAACTTCCAATTCTATATATTTTAAACATAAAAATACAAGGGTTTATTTATATATCATAATGTATGCTTTTGCTTTACAATGGAGGAATTCATACTTCAAGTAGATTAATCATGAATTTTCATTAGTTAGCAGTTTTAAGTTACCATGGAAATAATTACAATATGAATGGCAAAAACATTATAATGAAATATTTCAAATATTGGTATTCTAATAAGAACACATTTACTTTAGAAAATACTGATTTGACTCAAACTCTATAGTTACTGCTTTACTAATTAATGTAAGTTCAAGATCTCAGAATTTTTTAAATGATAGACTTATTACCCTAGGAGTAATAATAATATATCTATTACTGGGAGGGCTAATAATAAATCTACAGTACTACTATAAATGCACTTTTATTACCAAGTATTTTTAAAAACAGATAAGATGTTCTTGATATTATTTCTCATGTTTCCATAAAAATATATTACCAGAGTTGTTAAAATATTCAACTGGTTTTTTGTTTGTTTGTTTTTGGTACCAAGGATCGAACTCAGGACCTTTCGTTTGCGAGGCAGGTGGCAAAACCACTGAGCTAAATCCCCGACCCCTCAACTGTGTTTTTACTCTAATTTAAAAAATTAATTCCACTTTACTTCTGTTCAACTTTAATTCTTATGTGTATAATTATAATATATATATATATCATATGCATTTGTATATTTTAGCATGTATGTATGTAAACACATCTGTCCAAAATAATGTCTTTACATTATTTAAATGTTAAAACTACAAAAATATACCCAACTGAAACACTTTTTGCATCAGATCTTGGAAACTAATATATAGATGGTGTATCACTGCTTTTAAGATCCATAAATGTTGGATTCCTTTTTTGTTTGTTTTCTTTGTTAATGCAGCCTTTCATTTATTTTGCTTTTGGAGGGGATCTCATTAAAATCTGTACTTTGGGATATAATATGCTGTGCTTAGATGTATGCAAATTTTAATTCATACAGCTGAATGCTGTGACAGCAGAAATTACTTTTTAATAAGTTATAAATTCTTATTGAATGTTTAAAAATAAGTAAGTAGAGTCATTATCAATGAATTATCCACAAGTAGGAGAACTATAACAGCAATTGTAGAAAAGGTCAAAGGACATGGATTTAGTGGCAGGACAGAAATAATATGGGTGAGCAGCTTGGGGCTGGCTACTTTCCATGTAAGGATGAGGGTAAGCCATCCTCAAATTTCAAAATGCAGGTTTATGAAAGAGAAAAAATTAAAAAAGAAGATAGTAAGATGTGAGTTTTCTCAAAATCTATCAGGCATAAAATCAAATAGTGGCAAAAAGTAGAAAAAAAAAGAAATGACTGATTTGTTACATAGAAGGTTTTTTGAAGTTTGGAATGGGATGGAAAATCAGAGATTTCTGTAAGTGGAGGATTAAAAACATTAGATGTAACAATACTGTGAACTGAAAAATAAGTTGAGTAACTCTTGCTCTCTCTCTCTCTCTCTCTCTCTCTCTCTCTCATTGTAGAATGCCAGAGTCCCCTGGTGAAGTTTCTGAATATCCTTTGTTTGTCACAGTTGGTGACTGGCTGGATTCTATAAAGATGGGACAATATAAGAATAATTTCATGGCAGCAGGGTTTACAACTTTTGACTTGATTTCGAGAATGAGCATTGAGTAAGTGGTACTAGGATTATTTCTTTCTTTCCTTTTAAAATTAGTTTTATTGGTACACTTTTGACATGCATAATGATCACATTCATCATAGGGAATTTGTGCCTGTACATAATATATCTTAATTATTTTTCCCATTCCCCTCCCTTCCATTCATTTCTTCTTCCCCTCTCCATTTATAAAACTTTATTTCTATTGTTTTCGTTCCATTCCTTTTAATTTTTTAGCCCTATTCCTTTCCTTCTCTTCCCCCTCCCTTGCTCCCCTTCCCACTTGAACATTTTCTTCCTACTTCCCAATATCTATCACCCATTTTGGTCCTTATTTACACCTTGGGTTTCTCACACTAAATAAATAATGTGATGTTTAAACATGTGTGCCCTATTTATTTTAATTACAGTTATGTTCTTGAGGTGCAACAGTTTACCTAAAGATCTCTCAGGTATGTCCTTTTTTATAGCAGAGTAGTACTTCATAGCATATGAAAACCACGGTTTCCTTTTTTATTCATTTTTGGCTGTTTCCAAGATTACCTATTACAGACTATGCTGCTATAAACATGGGTGTGCATATATCATTGTAGTGAGATGCTTTGAACTCTTTGGGTAAGAAACCTAGAAGGATCGAAAAGAAAAAAAAGTTTTGGTTTTTTGAGGAATCTCCATACTAATTTGCATAATGGTTGTACCAATTTAAATTCCCACAAACAGTGGCAAGGGTTCCTTTTTCCCCAAAGCCTTGCCAGCATTTGTTGTTGTTGTTTTTTCCATTTAATTTTTTTTTAATTCACCGTATTGGTATTCTTTAAATATACATAATGATCACATTCATCCTAGGGAATTTGTACCTGTACTACTACATCTTGATTCTTCTTTTTCCTCCCCTCCCCTCTCTTCTACACATCTCTTGATTATTTACAAAAGCTTTGTTTCCATTCTTCCTTTTATCATTTTTTTTTTGTTTTCTTATCCTTCCCTTCCTACTCTTCCCTCCCTTTTCCCCCTTCCAATTTGAACATTCACAATATCTACTATACATTTTGGTCTTTATTTTTCCTTTTGGCTTCTCACACAAGAGGAAAAAAAATGCAGTATTTAAACATGTGTATCCAACTTATTTTACTTAACAGTGTGGGCTCAAGTGCATCCATTTACCTAGAAATGTCTTGCACATATCCTTCTTTGTGGCAGAGTAGTACTCTATTATGTGTATTAAAAAAAACATATTCTTTATCCATTCATCCATTGGTGGGCATTTAGCCTAATTCCAAGATTAAGCTATTATAAATTGTGCTGCTATAAACGTAGGTGTGTGTGTATCACTGTAGTATGATTCTTTTAATTCTTTTGGGGAGATACCTAGAAGGGAAATAGCTAGGTCAAATGGAACCTCTCCATAGTAGTTGCATCAATCTGTATCCCCATCAACATTAGAGAAGGGTTCCTTTTTCCCCACAACCCCACCATCTTTCATTATTGGTTGATTTCTTGATAATAGCAATTCTTTCTGGAGTGAGATGGACTCTGTGTTGTATTAATGTGCATCTCTCGAGTGATCAGTGATGTTGAACTTTTTTTCATATATTTATTTTCTGGTTGTACATCTTCATCAGAGAATCAGATATCTATTCATATCAGATGCCCATTTTTGGATTGAGTCTTTAAATGTGGGGAATCTGATTTTTTTAAAGTTCTTTATAAGTCTAGATATCAATTCTTTGAAGAACAGCTGGAAAATTGTTTTTTTTTTATTCTGTGGGTTGTCTCTTCACTCTATTAGTGGTTTCCTTTGCTGTACCTTTTTTTATGATGTGATCCCAGTTGGTGATTCATTGTATTACTTCCTGTGCAATGGGGGTTTTGTTTATAAAGTCTTGCCTATACCTATGTCTTCAAGAGTTTCTGTTTTGATATTTAGATCTTTGACCCATTTTGTTTTAGCGTATGGTGAGAGACAATGGGTCTAGGTTTAATCTTTGGCATGTGCAAAGCCAGTTTTCCCAGCACCATTTATTGAAGAGGCTATCTTTCTTCTAGTGAAGGTGTTTGCCCACTTTGTCAAAGATAAGTTACTGTAACTGAGTGTGTCTGGAGTTGTTTCTGCATCATCTACTCTGTTTCATTGATTTTTTTCCAATACCATGCTGTTTTTATCACAGTAACTTTGTAGCATAGTTCAAGTTGAGGATTTTGATGCCCTTTGCCTTACCTTTGTTGCTGAGAATTGCTTTTGCTATTCTAGATCTTTTCTGCTTCCACATGAATTTTGGAATTATTTTCTCTAGTGCTGTGCAGTATATTATTGATACTTTGATCAAGATTGCATTAAATCTGTATAATAGTTCTGGAAATATGGCCATTTTCACTACATTGATTTTGCCTATCCAAGAACAAAGGATATCTTTCCATTTTCTAATGTCCTCTAAGGTCTCCTTTTTCAGAGTATTCTAGTTTTCATTGTAAAGGTCTTTCATTTACTTCATTAGATTAATGCCTAAGTATTTCATTTTTTTATGCTATTGTGAAAGGTGTGGTATCCCTAATTTATCTCTCAGTGGGTTTCTTATTTGTGTACAGGAATGTTATTGATTTTTTTAGTGTTGATCTTTTGTCTTGCTACAGTACTGATTTCAGTTATTAAATCTATGAGTCTTTTGCTGGAATTGTTTGGGTCTTGTATGTAGAGTGTTATGTCATCTGAAAATAATGATAATTTATTTCTTTCTTTCCTATCCTTACCTTTTTATTTCTTTTTCTTTTCTAATTGCTTTGGCTAGTGTTTCCAGAACTATATTGAATAGGAGTGGTGGTAGTGGACATCCTTGTCTTGTTCTTGATTTTAGAGTGGAAGCTTTCAGGTTTTGACCATTTGGTATGATGTTAGTGACATACATAGCTTTTTATCCAATTGAAATAAAAACTATTTCCATTTTCTGTACAGTTTTATAATTAATGGATGTTGAACTTTGTCAATTTTTTTTCTGCATATATTTAGATGGCCCTGTGATTTTTGTCTTTGGTTCTGTTCATATGGTGTATTACATTTAATGATTTGCATATATTGAACCATCCGTGCATTTCTGGGATGAATCCTACTTGGTCATGGTGTGCAGTCTTCTTGATGTTTTGGTGCTTTCTGTTCACCAGTATCTTACTGAGGTATTTTGCATCTATGTTCATTAAGGGAATTGGCTTGTGGTTTTCTTTTTATAGTTGCATGCTTCTCTGGGTTTGATATCAGGGTAATGCTTACTTCCAGGAATGAGTTTGAGAGTATTGCTTTGCTTTCAATTTCACTAAGGAGTTTGAAGAGTAGTGATATCAGGTATTCAGTAAATATCTTATAGAATTCATCAGTAAATACATCAGGACCTGTTTTTTTCTTTGTTGTTAGTTTATTACTTCTTCAATTTCATTGATTGATATTGGGTTATTTAGAATTTTTATATCTTCTTGATTCAGCTTTGGTAATTCATAAGTATCTAAGAATCTGTCAATTTATTCTGAGTTTTCCATCTTATTAGAGTTTAGGTTATCAAATTATGTATTGATGATCATCAGGATTTTTGTAGGATCTATTGTGGTTTCACCTTTTCTTTCCTAATTTCATGGATCTGAGTATTTTCTTTACTATTTTTTAAATAAGGTTAGCTAAGGGTTTGTCAATTTCATTTAACCATTCAAAGAACCAGTTCTTTGATTCATTGATTATTTGTATTGTTTTCTTAGTTTCAGTTGCATTAATTTCTCCTTCAATCTATAATTTTCTTCCTTATTTGTGCTTTGGGTTTAACTTGCTCTTCTTTTTGTGCATGTTTGAGATTCAATGTTAGGTTATTTATTTGAGCTTGTTCTGTTTTTCTGATGTGGAAATTCACTGCTATAAATTTCCTTCATAGGACTGCTTTCATGTTCCAGTATGTCATATTGGCATTACCATTTAATTGTATAAACTGTCTAATTTCTTCCTTAATCATGTTCTTTTCAGGGAATTAGAAATTGAAATGCCATATCAAGGCTCATATGTCATTTCCACAATTTCTGATTATTGTTCTGGAGGAAATTGGACATTACATTTTAAAAGTATTATTCTTTAAAAGGAAATGATTAATTCAAATAACTTCAAAATATTTTAAAAGCTTTCTGCAATGCATATTACTCTAGTTCATGTTATAGACTTTATGTCATCATACTTTTCTCTTGGTAAATTATGTATTACTCATATAAACTAATATTGCTTAACCAATTCCTATAACTTTCATCAAATTAATACAATATTGGACAAGAGAATTAGCTCACTGGTGCTGTGCCTGTCTGGCAAGTGCAAAATCCTGAGTTCAAACCCTGGTACCACACACACACACACACACACACACACACACACACACACACACACACACACACACACACACACACACACACACACACACACACACACACACACACACACACACACACACACACACACAAATTAATACAATATTATCATGTCACTTTAGAGCTCCTCCTGTGTATTGTAATGGTATAATAATAGTCAACTATTTTTATTGTTTCAAAGATCACCCATTGCCAATGGGCATTGGAAATCCTCAAAATGCCAGTTAAAGGACTAAATACTAAAACAATTAGATTGAGCCATATGAACTTCTCATTATTTTAAAACAGTAATGGCAATTTCATATGGTTCAATATGATGACAGTTTTTTTCTCAGATTACTGAAATACCATGCAAACTAAGAATCTACATATTTTTACATCTCATTATCACCATTTTGCTACCACTATTGCAAATTTATCTAACTACATATCTAAATTGCATATAGCCTTTGGGCCTACAAAATAAGTATGTGAATATGAAATTTTTTCTTGTTTCATTAAATTTGAGCTTAATATGGTATATTCTGTGGATCCAGAGAGAAATATATAACAAATTATCACTGTTCATTTATATCTATGTTTAACAAACTTCAAAAATTTTGGCGAGTTTGACATTGTACATATTTAATATGTGTAAGCATTCATTTTTTTCTCTCTCATATTTACCAAATTTAAATGTTTTCCCCCTTCCTCTCTCTCAGTGACATTAGGAGAATTGGAGTCATACTCATTGGACACCAGAGACGAATAGTCAGCAGCATACAGACTTTACGTTTACATATGATGCACATACAGGAGAAAGGATTTCATGTATGAAAGTACTATAAACACCTGTGTCTTGTGCCTCAGCATTTCTAAAATGAAAGATATCCTCTCTAATGCCCTCTCTTCTGACTCTCCAAATGTTCTTTCACAAACCAGTCACTTATTCAGACTATGCCGCACACCTTATGTTTATGCTTCCAACCTGGATTTTAAAACCATGCTGCTACACAAATCGTCTCTGAATAGCCTGCAAATAAAACCCTGGTCCACTGCAAATTATTACTACACAATTATAAATAACTCAGCATGGATGTGTAACTTTGTATAGAAGTATTTGGGAAGTGTTCATGGACTTAACCTAAAGAAATTTGTCCAGATATGGCATCCTTAATGATGTATGTAAAGCTTGATGGTAAATGAGATAGAAATAGTTGGACCTTCATGTTTTGTGATCAAGTAGTTGCCAAACTGACATTAATATTATTTTTAGATAGTTTTATTCAACTCTATCTGTTGTATTGTTGCTTTATTTTCATGCTTTGTCTATTGGTCCCTGATGTTAGAATGACTTGCAGAAATGACCAAGGATTCCATGTAAATGCATTCTTGTCGGGTGGGACTCTGGTGAGAAGGGGGTTAATGGGGAGGGTGAGGGAGAAAATACTGTGATTTTAAATCTTCTAAGGCTGGGTTTGTCTACTTTTAAATGAACCTTATAATGTCCTACACATTTCATAGTAGATGGTACTTTAGAGGCTTTCTCTTTAGATTTTTTTTTTTACTAACTATTGTGTATTTATTTCTCTACTATGTTATGAAACCCACCCTTTGAAAGACCAAGAGTGTGTCCACTACTCTAAAGGTTTTCATAGAATGAAGCATGGAATAAACCCATTATTGTTCCTTTGATCCATTTTCACAACTTTACAAAAGTAATTATCAAACTTAGAAAATTAGTTGATCTTGTAGTATTGCTTTGAATAAAACATCTAAGTTTGTAGCCTTAGATTTAGGGTGAAATGATTCATTAATTTAACAGGATTTTATGATAGCTGTATAGTAGCCCAAGAAAATAAACACATCTGTCTGATATCAGTATACTTTTCAAGTTTAAGAATTCTTATGTTTTGATGCAAAAATAAGTTACATGAACATGCTGAGCTTTTAGAATGTTTCCAAACCTTCTAAGAAATAAATATGAATACTCCAAACAGGATATAAACAGATCTTATACTTGAGCATGTGTATGTGTGCACACTCACGTGTGTGTTAACCTGGCTCCATAATACAGTTGCATAAAAAATGTGAGCACAGCTATGTTGTTGTCATAATCTTCTCAGAGGCTTACAACAAAAAAGCAACTATATTTTTCAGTGAATTATGCTCAGTCAGCTTGTCAAAATAGTGCTGTCTTAGGAACAAAATCATTTTTAAGGTCAGCTGCTCCTTATGAAAATACAAAATCATTGACTACCACGGTAGGTGGAAAACATAAAGAGAATGTGTTAAGGGAGACAAAAATGCAGTGCAAGTTTTCTACAGATGATAATTTAATCACTTATCTTGCATTTAGTATCAGAGACAAAGGTGCCCTATCCACATTCTTAAATTTCTACCTAAATTATACTTTTTAGTGAAAATAGTGTTCTTTGTATTTAATGGCCCTTATTTTCTTTATTTTCCTTATTTTGAGATATTGATGATTGTCCATTTTACTAGGCCCTTCCACATATTTTTGCTTGCTGATTTATCTAATTTTTTCTTCCGCTACTTAATTTTCTTGTTTAAAAAATGAATATAATTAGAAAGATATTTTTGGAGTATTTCCTACATATACTATAAAAAGAAAAAGTGAGGCATCATTCATTTTTTTAAGTAAGCATGTCAGAAATAGCTAGCAACATTTTTGTAGCCATCAACTGGCATGGTCATGCACCACTCATAGACTGTATGCAGTTTGCTTGATTGTATTTGCCTAACTCTGGATACATTTTAAGTAAATATAAAATTTCCATATTTATCTGTCTTTAAATATATATTCAATAAAAACAGATGTAAGCAGATTAAATTTATTAATCATATATATATTTATTTTTATAAAACAATCAAAAGATATTTAGAAAATAAGAGACAGAATAATATGGTCTTCCATAGGACTCTGTTAGCAAAATCCGTATACCTTGATGAAATAAACTGTATTAAAGTATTTAAACTTCTATGGGATGGACATTCAGTGATTGTAATATTAAAGATTTCTTTTAAGAATATTTTCTTGAGTAGATGTGCTGCTTACACTTGTTAATCCTGGCTACTAGCTACTACAGAGGCTGAAGCAGGAGGTTCAGAAGTTCAAGGACAGTCTGCTCAACCCAGTCTCAAAATTTAAAAATAAATAAATGTATATAGCTCAGTGTTCCCTGAGTTCAATCCCCAGTACTACTAAAAATATTTTTTTGAAAAACATCAGATTATACTATCCATCTTCTGATTAATTTATACTTTTTTTCTTCCCTAACATTTCTTTTAGTATCAGAAAACTCTCTTTCCTCTTTGCCTTTCACCCCATATCCTCCTTAAATTTCTTTTAAATTTCATTTTATGTTTTAGAAGACTAAACATGATTATAAATGTGATTTGGTCAAAGTTTAAGATATATGTATAAAATTAAACAGAAACATTAAAATATGAGGATATTTATTTCTTTCCTGCCTACTAGTTAAGGGGCCCTATGATCCCACTGATATTATAATTTATAGAAATGTTAATAATTAAAATGTCAAATTAGTTTGAAAATTTTATATGAAACATTTTCAGATTTACTGGTGCACATAATCAGCAATTGAAATTGTTTAGTATGTACAAGCATAAAACTTAATTACTCAAAAAATTAGTAATTCCTATAAATCACAAGTCATTAGGATTAAACTTAGATAACTAAAATATGCATATATTTATAAATCAGTTTTTAAATATTCTTAATATGTACTATTGAGAGAACCTTTTGAATTTTGAAAGTCAGTTAAAGAAGCCAATTTTATCTTACTTTCTGGAGAGTCAATTTCTAGTCTATAGCCAACTCATTATCTCATGATATAGGTCATGTTTGGGAAAAATATAAAAACAATGTACAATCAAGAGAGATTAGGTACTGTATTTAAATCACTAAACTGAAAAGGCAATCAGAAATTATGAAACTCATCTAAACAGTAATCAAGAATGAGAGTTTAGCAGTGAGTTATAACTATTAATAAATAAGTTATGCATGCCATAATAAAAATATTTCACTCTGAATTACTTTTTAAAATCTGCTCAACTATAAAATCTGTGTAAAAAGTCTTCCAGCTACAACTTTAAGGCCTATCTCAGCTCATGAATAGAAAACAAATCCAAACCCAATCCCTGAAATGCAGTTCTTATAGAGGTAGTAATGAAGAACGAATTGTTACATTTCATCCAAGCACATTTCTAAAAGATTTTAATATTTTTCTAATAACTTTCTGTTCTGCAAGGTAGTCAGGTAAATTTCCCTATCTCAAGATTTTAACCTGTACTAGGTACCTTTTTCTATTTCTTTATTCAATTTTCTAAAGCTTTCTTTTTGAATCACTCTGTTCCTTTTAATTCACCATCTTATCCTTTGTTATTTTTTCAATTTCTATTACTATGTCCTATATCCCTGTCAACATATGAAAGCACAGAAAATCTAAAAAGATCTTCCAGATCCTCTTATAAGAGGCTAAAGGTCATGGAAGGTTGCAAATGCTGTACTTTTAATATGATAGCCTTATAACAGGAGACCACCGTTTTCACAGAGGGTATGGATTCCAGCTGTGGCTTAACAATTTAACATTAATAATTATGATAATTTTCTATAGCTTTAGCTAAGGACGTTTAACATTAGTTTTAAATTAGTGTTTCAAGAAACAAAAGATGTTATTCTTTCTCACAGTGTCTGTCTTTATATAGAAAAGAGATTTGAAACAAATGCATCACGTCTTTTACTATAATCACCTTAAAATTTCCATGCTCAAATTTCACAAAGTGAAATTATTACTTCATATTTAATTTAAAAAGTATTTTATTGCTTTTTAAATGAAGACTCTAAAAGGTAGAGGAGCACTATGGGTAAGTTGATTTTATTCTACCATTAGAATACCATATACTGAAGCCACTTAACTTTTCATTTTTATGATCAGCTTTTCCAAAATTTGTTTCAAATTTTATAATGTTCAACAAAGGCAGTATAAACTTTATTCAGTTCAGTTTAACAAACATCTATGGAGTGCCTTCTATGTGCATAGCATCTTACGCAAAGAAATTTTCATACACTGTCCTTGCTTTGAATTAAGTCTAAGCTTAAAATTTAGAAGTTAGAACCTGTTTGTAGTTTTCAGTTGTTACCATATCACTGAGAATTGCCGCTTTCCATAGAATAAAAATAAATACATAGAAACTGGTCCACTATGAATTATATTCATAATCTCTTCTAGAAGGAAATATTTTAGACCTCAGATTCACACAGAAATCTTTCCGACCATCCTATAGTTTGGCAAAGAGAAGCATGCTTGCTAGGTTCTTTAAGATATTCTCTTATTAATAGCTGATCCTTGTCAAGAGTCACAAATTTATATTTTCCAGAGACAACAGTTTTAGTTTACATATAGACTCATACATTGAAGATACCTTCAATTAGAAAGCATGACCCTTTTTTCGAGAGCAATTCTGAAATTTAAATTTTGCCTAAGATAATTACTAGGCCTAGTAACTGTAATGATAAATATAATCTTCAAGGGTTGAAGAAAGTTCTTTCAAAAGTGATCCATTAACAAGAAAGAAGATGACTATTTATGACTAGATTATGTTCCTAAATAATATTAGGGAAAAGAAAAATCTTATGTTGCACAAAGTAAATACCTCCATCTTTCTCTTAGTGTTCCCTTAAAAAGCTAAATTTTAAGCAGATGTTTCAAGGATTTCTTGGGATAAAAAACTAATTTATTTTTTAGAGAATGTGACATGATATGTAACAAAACAATCACAAGATCAAGGAGAAAATAGTCATTAAAATGTAGTTTTTATCTAACCCTCTTTTTCTGACAGATTCAAATTATTCGGCCTCATAAATGCAAGGTCCTGAGTTCAATCTCTGGTACTATAATAATAATAATAATAATAATAATAATAATAATAATAATAATCTGACAACTATAAACTTTGTATCCCAATGATATTAAGTAACATCTATTTTCTAAATTTCTGTACTTCACTATAGAAAGCAAAGTTTTAATTAAAACAAAGAAAGTTTCTTGCTCAAAGTTCTAAACTTGCTAGATTCCCAAATATCTACATCACTAAAGGAATATTTTGATTTGTTTTCCTTTCAGACAAAATCTTTAAAGAAGAATTCCAAGGCCCTTAAATACAAGCAATTCATCATTTAAAATAACAAATGTATCAAATAATTATTACCTGATTTCGTAGGGTAAAAGTTAGCTCTAAAATGTAATATAAAGATGAGATTTATACTTTTTTTTTCTTTTTTTCAATGCTGTGGATTGAATATTTTACATGCTAGGCAATCACTCCACCACTGAGCTACATCTCCAGGTTTATGACTTCTATTTTTGATTAGCAAATAAAATACATATCAACAATACAATTTTCCCAGGAGTTGTCAATTAGAGAAGTGTCAAAATTAGTGAAAATCTCTCAATAAAACTCTGTGTATTTCTCCATCATTTGTATCCCTTGGCTGTCTTTAACTTGTCATAATAACTCATTTTTAGTTAGGTAATAAGTTACAAATGAGAGCAACTGAGAGGAGGCTTTAAAGTGTTCTACTAATAATAAAAGAAAAACAACCTTACTGTAGGATTCATATTTAGTGGACAACAGTCTCTATCTCATTAGCTCTCACTGAAGAATGAAATCTTTTTACCTGAAAATATGTAATGTTATTATGAAGAAAACTCTAAGGCCGGAAGAATCACCATTTTTCACATATCCAATTCAGACTTTATATTTAGGCACTACTACATTGAAGCTATATATAAGTCCTATTTTCATGAGTTAAATATGATCTTACAAAACAAGCAATATTGATTTTTATACAAATTTTCCATACTTACAGTTCATCCTTAGGACAGCCTGAATTTTCCTGTTCTAGGAAGACCCAATGCCATTTAAAATCTTGAAATAATGATGAATGGCATGAATGTTAACTTCTACAATGAGTAAACCATACATTTCAAGATATTTACCTTATTTTAAGTGTCTTCCACTAGTTCTATGATTAAAAATCTCTCTTGAACATTTAGATATTTATAGAATCAATTGTATGAACTTTTTTTTTTTTTTTTTTTTTTGGTACCGGGGATTGATGTATGAACTTTATTTTGTTTTGTTTAGATTTTTTTTTGTACCGGGGATTGAACTCGGGTCCTTGTGCTTGCAAGGCAGGCCACCGAACCACTGAGCTAAATCCCCAGCCCTGATGTATAAACTTTAGACACAAACTTTTTAAATTTTTTTGGTTAAATATATCTTCAGAAAAGTCAAAATATAATTAATTCTAATAACTCATTTCAAACTTTTGCTCTTTATAATTCTCATCTATCCAGTAATATTATTAAAGTCATAATGATTTTCTTAAACTGTTCATGCTTTTTTGCCATTATTTTATTTTTAAATAAATAAATCTACTTAAAAAGTGGTCTTTAGAAGCTCTATAACAAAATCAATAAAAAATGTGGTCTTTAGAAGCTCTATAACAAAATCACTTGCTAACAAACTTGAAACTAAACAAATTTTTCTATCAATGTGATTAGTGTATTATTAAATCTAATTTGTTCAAATATACATTAGTATATTATCTAGAACTATTATTGTCATATCCTTGAAGTACCTTTATGACAATACTGAATTATCATGAACAATAAATGACTGAGACTTTAACATTTCTGCACTGACCGAAAGTAAGGTTTAATGTGTATAAATTTTTTCTACTGGAGTTTTGAATTAAATGTGTTCTTTCTGTCCATGTCATATATGTCTTCAAAGAAAATTATATTAATATATTCATACTATGCAAGAATTTCATTTTATTCTTACAAAAGTATGGAGCTTTGGTATAACTTTAAGCTTCCAAGAGTAAAAAAAGTGAAAATGCAAAATGAGTGGAACTAAATACCTGAGTAGTGCTAAGAAATATGAATGTAAGTTACACTTGATTTTAAAGATAACTACATGTGTTTTGTCCCTGATACACTATTAATCATTTTGTTAATCACACTCCATCTTAAATTTGTAACACTGAAAATCTGAATATCTACAGAATGTAAATGTCTTCTACACTTTTTTCATAAACTATATTAAATTTTAATTTTTGTGCAGTTAAAACTTCAAAAAACAAATTTTTAATTTTGAAGGAATAATTGTTAACTCTTTCTTAAAAATGTAGTCATTAGCCAGGCGTGGTGGTGCATGCCTGTAATCCCAGCATTCGGGAGGCTGAGGCAGGAGGATTGCTGTGAGTTCGAGACCAGCCTAGGCTACATAGTTAGTTCTAGGTCAGTCTTAACTACATAGTGAGACCCTGTCTTAAAAATAAAAAGATTTAGTCATAGCTGTTGCAGTGACTACCTTTTTGAAAAATCATAGATAGAGCAAGAATATAGAACACGGCAACAAGCTAATTTCCATTAAAATTGAGGAAAAGAAGCAATACAAAGAAGAGTTTGGGTTTAAATTGTTACTTACCTAATTTAAAAAAGCAACAACAAAAAAAACCTATAAGAAAAGAGAGAATGAAAATTATTTTCTTCTTAATGGTAATTTTTAAACTAAAATATGATTTGAGAATGGGAATTTCTACTTAAAATAAATCCACTTACAATTGTTAAAATACATATCAATATATAAAATTAGGAAAAAATCTCATGACAACAGTTTACTAAAAGATTATTTTCAGCATTTTTATTAATATGTCAAGTAATCATAATTCTAAACATTGCCATACTGCTAATTCTTTTAATTTCCATGACATATCTTGCAAAAATTTTGCTAAAATATACCTTATATATTCGACTGCCAAAGTACTTTATGTACATATTTATGAATTAGCATATTGGTGAGATTTTGCCTTCTATTATTCAATTTAAAACATTATGTATAAGATGTAGTAATGAGTATGGAATTGAAAGGATTGTCTTTTAGCATCAATTTATGCTTTTAAAATGATATAAATTTTACATAGTAATGAATATTTTTTAAATGTGGTACTTACATATTAATTTTATGTGATATCTTTTCATCTTTTAATACTTATATTCTTTCAAAGAGATTGCCTTTTCTTTCCAGTTAAGTATTTGAAAAAGAGCCACTTCAGGTTTTATATTACCATTCAGTTTCATGATGCTTGCAGCTTGCCAATTCTCAAAGAATTTGAATGCCATAACATACTGGCTAGAAGCTAGTCTTCTTGAAGTTATTCTTCTTTTAGCTAACACTGATCTGATACTCCATAAAGTCTGTTAGAAAAATCAAACTCTTTTCCTTTCTTATGAATGGAAACATCAAAAAAATCCTCCAGTGCACTACATAAATTCAAAATAATAAGCATATATTTTTAGTTATTTTATTGCTTACAGTTTATTCAATGTATATAATTTCACCAAATGGGTTGCTTCAAACAATAGTAGTAAACCCTTCCATTTTTATATAAATTACTTATTTTCTACAGTGTTTAAAATCTTTGGAGAACTCAAAATATTCCCTTTCCTTAATTACAACCTTGATCATTCTACATTAAATGCAATAGTTAAGTAAAAATTAATATAAACAACAAAAATTATCTGACCAAGCATCATTAAGCTCTTTATACTACGTAACAATATAATAAAAAGACATGCCTGCTTATTAGCTTACAATTATAATTCTTAAATTCTAAAATAAGTGTACTTATATGATAATTTAGTTTTAAAATGTATGTGTAAATCCATTCATTCATCCAATTAATGCTTACTGAACACCACATATATACAGTATAGTACATGTATACTAGTGTCCTCTTTGAAGTACTGAAAAATGATACATGGTGATCAAGGAAAGCAAAGCTCCTGTTTCACAGAATTAATTTTCTAGGAGTAAAGACACACAAAGAAACAGTGATGTGTTGTACTGACTTAATTAATAAAGTTACACAGCATGGTTATGACGCTTTCACATCAGGTATGAAGGGAAATCTCTGAGGACATGGTATTTAAACTGATACTGCAAAAACATGAAGGAAATGGCCATGAGAAAATCCAGAGTAAGAGCCTTCAGGACAGAAAAAACAGTTAATGTATTAAGAGCTTGGAGTGTTCAAGAGCAGACAGAACAGTGGTATGTACTCATGAGGCAATGGAGGAGACAAAAAGGAATGAGGTTGGAGTATAGAAGGCTGCTGGAGTAGTTAACTGGATTAAGATGTCAAAATTAGAACAACAACAACAAAATGACCACAGGATTTGGCAACTTTGACAAGAACAGTCTCTTAAGGACAATCTCTATGAAAGAGTGCAGTCAAATCCTGACTGAAATGGGTTAAATGGAAAGGTAAGAGAAGAAAGCAAAGTCAATACATAAACAAGTATTTCAATATGTTCTGTTGTAAAAGGAGCAAGATAAATAGGACAGGAACTTAAGATATGGAGTCGACAAAACTTTATGGAGTTTTATTGTTAATTTGTTCATTTGTTTAGAATAAAGGATGCTTAGAATAAAGATATTTATATATCTTTAATGAAATGATTTGGCAAATGAAAAATGATTATACATGAGAGAAATAATTAGAGCAAAGGCCTGGAGAAGGTTGAAGGGAGGGTTGCATTTGGTAAGAGCACGTTTATAGAACTCCAAAGATAGGGAAGGCAGAGTGTGTAATAAGCAGATAAATTCTTAGATTTGTTGTAGAAAGATGTTACTATGTGAATAGTTTGATTTCACCAAGGAAAGTTAGTATAAGAGGTAGAAAGGGAGTGGTTGGGGGACAGATATATAAGTAGGTGGATAGTGAGAAAGTGACTATA